TAAATTCGCCTGTTCATTTAAATGAAGGGGAAATCACCTAGAACCCTTTCGAGTTATTCTCTACTTTCAGTTCTTAATATTTAAATTGTAAAAGATCATCATTCAATGAAAGTTGGATTTTGACCGGAACAATCAACATAACACCAAGTGTTTCATGATGACATTAAAAAAAAATAAATTATACAAGTATTTATAAATTATACACAAGCAAATTTCTTATATGGATGAGATTCAAAATCAAGTCTTCACGCAATATGAAACCGATTCTTACTATTAGAACAATTATTAACTGGCACGTACCTTGAGAAATCATAGGTTTAAAATTTGAATTTTTTTTAAACAAATTTGAGGTTACTTATGCCATTGAGGAGTATCATGAGATGAATGTTAATATCAATTTTACCAATATTAATTGGTTCAGATGGTTTGAAACATGCTTTTCTTAAGTAAATTTTTGAATTCGAGTTTCAATTTTTATATAGAAAAAATTTCCACTAAGACTTTGCAATTACATGGTTTGATCTGATTTTATTTGAATTAGTGCTAAGTGGGAGATGTCATAAATAATATACTTATCTTGAAGTGCACAGGGATATGCGAGATCGCCAATCAAATTCAATACAATAGTCTGTTGTAGTGGCCTCTCCCCGCTTCTATAGGACGAGGGTGTGTGAATACAGATGCTCCCTCTAATCCCAAGCACAAGACATTAATGATTAATTTCAGTTAGTCAATTTACTTAAGCTAATTAAATTTATAGCAAAATATAGTTTTTCCCTGTTGTGAATCTAAAGTATTCTTCTTCAGATATTAATAATTTGAAATTATAAGTGGGATCGAACGTATAACTTTTCTTTTATTAGAGAGTTTACATTCTACTAGACTGCAAGATCATTAGCCAAATATACTTTGTTCTTATACTTTAATGATTGAAATTTTATCAAAAAATATTTAATAATATAAAGAGTGACTTGTTTTTTGGACTATTAAAGTGTTTTAATAAATATCTTATACTTCCAATCCTATTTATAAGCAAGGGAAAGTGATTTTTTATCACAAATTTCTTTTGGCCCTTCTTTAATTTTGGTGGGAGAAAGTAAATTATTAAATTATATATATTTAACAGGGGTCAATGTTTTGAGACCTAAATTGATTTGGATGGTCAAATTGTTCCTGGTAAAATAGTTTGATTCAACCGTTTAACCAGTTCGAATAATTAGCTCATTTTGAACACAAAACTCATATAAGTTAGACCTTTTTGAACTAATTTTTTTACTTTAATTTTAGTACTTCCTCTGTTAAAAAATGTAAGACATTTTTTGAAGAGTTAGGTGTTAAAAAATGTAAAATATTTTTAGTTTTTTGAAATGTAATCGTTATTTTTTTAAAAAATGTTCCTATTAATAATGATTTTATATTTATTGCGAGGTGTTTAATAGGAGTAAATATAAAAAGATAAGGTTAGTTTGAAAGTAGATAACTACTTGATTGAGAGGTAAAATTCGATTAAAAATGCTTTATATTTTTGAACGAAGAGAGTAATAAATTTTTATTCTATCTAAATATATTGAAGTCAATTCATTTCTGGATTATTATAGTAAAATCTTAAATGTATAATTTATTTATTAGCATTATATTTACAAAAGTATTGAGAAAATTGAAAACTCATTTGTTTTAAATGAACAACCAAGGTAAATAAAAGATATACACATGAAAAATGAGAAAGCAAAAAAATTAATTGGTTATGACTTAACAATTATAAAACAGGAATGATATTGTCACTATTTTTAATGTTTTATTAAAATATATATATATATATATATATATTATTTTTATTTAAATTTCATGTTACCGGTTCGATCATCAATCTAGCTAGTTAAACTATGAAAATCTCGATCGATAGGGGATAATATAATATTTGGTTTGGTTTTTAAAATATTGATAAGGGCAAAATTTTAAAAAATATATTAAATTTGAAGACATAATTCATGAATTTTAATATTTTCCTTGATTATGATAAGCATATTAAAAATGACTAATAAATAAAATCAGTAAAAGTATCTTAGACCAGAGTAATAAAAGATTAAAAAAAATTAAAAAAATTGGCTAAAATGTACATTTAATCCTTGAATGTTACGTACTTTTTCTGTTAAAAAATATGAGATATTTTTAATTGAATCTCATCCTCTAATAAAGTAATTATTTACTTTCAAACTAACCCTATTTTTTCATATTTATCCCTATTAAATACCCTATAATAAATACAAAATCATTATCAATATGGTACTTTAAAAAAAAGGTAATGATTACACCTCAAAAGATTAAAAATGTTTTACATTTTTGAACATCCAACTCCTCAAAAAATGTCTTTTATTTTTGAACGGAGGGAGTAAGTTTTATTTCTAATCCTTTAATTTCTTTTCAAAGTAACCTTTTTTTAACAAAAAATTGTCACTTTAAATTTTTAAATATTGATAAAATATTTTTAAATATTAACATATTAATTTTAATTTTGTTAACATAATAATAATTAATATAAAAATTATTTAAAACTAATGGTATTAAGGTTATAAAACTAACAGAATATTTTATAAAATTAAATGGTCAAACTAAAATTTTATATAAAATTAAGAATAAAAGAGTAAATTGACCCTAAAGAATAGGTCCAAGGCGTTAAACGTATTTACAAAAATTATTTTAAACTATTAATTAATTAGAGAATGATAGAAAAGGATTCATAAAATTTTCTTGATTCTTTTCTATATCTTTTTTGAATTCTTTTTGTAATTTTTAAATTATTTATTATAATTTTTTTAGTTTTTCTTTAATTTTTAAGATCACTCTCTAATTAATTAACAATTAAAATTAATTTTAAATTAGACCGTTTTTAAAAATTGAAAAGCAACTGGGCGCAAAAAACAAACAATCCAATTCAAAGGAATGGCTCAATGAAGGGCAAACACGTTGTGGGGCTGGATCGCAGTGCTGGGTAAGGCGGAAAACGGTGTGATATTATTATTATTATTAATGAAGACTTGTGTCGTCGCGTGACTTTGGTCCGTTCGTCCCTCATCAGGTTCAGTGGGTCCACTAATCTTTGACTCCTTGATTCTTTTAGCACCTTTCACGGGGCTCACTTCCCCACTGGTATTTCTACCCTATTTCTCATTCATACTTTAATTTATTCTTAATTAATTATAACTCATCAAATGTTATCAACCATCATCAAATAGATATAACCTTAACAAAAATTCATATGAATTTCACTCTCCCCGTCACCCTTCGTCCTTTAGATTATAAGTTTCATTACTTTTTTTTGGGTATTTTTTTAATAGAAATTGAAGTATTGATCCTACATTAAACGATATTAGAGGCAGAATTAGGCGATGATCAAAAAGAGACATCGTGCTCTAATGAAAACGTAGTACCATGATTCTTCCTGTCATTGTTGAATGTTAAGAGCAAAAGACTTGGAAAATGGAAACATCAACATTCTTTTTCCTTCACACACGTAAGTTGTAAGTGGGAGATTTCTGATACCGAAGTCCACACATTCCGATCCGTTTCACTCTATCCATTTTCAAAGGGTTTAGAACTTAAAATAGCTTCTTCTTCTTCTTCTTTTTTCCCCTCCTATTTTTCAATAATTTTGGGTGGTTAGACTTTTCCATCTCTTGTTCACTTGTTGCGTCAAATATCAATGACTTTTAATCACTTTATTAGCCTCCACCAATTTTGTCTTTCTCTTTAAATACAAAGTGTGGTTGAATACTTTGGATGCATCTGTGTTTTTTCTTGGCTGAAGTTGGACTCATGAAATTCAAAACATGATTCATTATTCTCATTAATGAGATTGTTATGTATCTTTGGCAGGAAAATTTTACACGAATGTAAAATGAAGAATGAGGTATTGTTACCATGTCGGCTATCAATTTTCAACCGCTGGTCTCAAATATAATGCGCCAATAATAATCTCAAACAAAATAATAAAATTAATTAAGTTAATTACATTTATAACAAAAACTCTGCATATATTTTATACTCTTTCTATTAAAAAATGTAAGGTATTTTTAATCAAATTTTACTTCTAATAAATTAATTTATTGTTTTCAAACTAATAATATATTTTTATGTTTACCCTTATTTAATAGAGTTTTTTATTTAAAAATAAATATAAAATAATTTATTTATTAAGAGAATTTTTTTAAAAATATTAATTACATATTAAAATATTAAAGATATTTTATATTTTTTAATAGTGAGAATAGATAATTCCAAACTCATAAAAAAAAAGATGGTTATGTTAGAAAACATAGATATGGACAATTAAAGTTATAATAAAATATTTTTTTTAATTTGTCTTTACGATCGGCATTCTTCCCGGTCAAACCTCAATTTCTCTATCATTTTATTTAATGAGAGGAATTTAAAAATAAAAACATTAAATAACCCAAAAAAGTGACTAATATTTAAGGGCAAGTTGTATTAACTTATACTACTCTATTTTTATTTATAAGAGAAACTATTACTTTTTATTTATTTTTTTATATAAGTAAAATCATATATTTCAATAAATATTTATTACATATTTCTTAAATCATTCCTCATAATTTATATTAACGAGAAATAATTAATACATGCTTACGTTAATCAATATAAGACATTTTAATTTAATTTCTTTATTTTCAAATATAATTATCATTGTTAACTAACTTTATTTCTTATAATTTTTTTTTTATATATAAAAATAGAGGGAGTATGTGTTAACTTGTTAAAAAGCAATTTCTCTTACTTCAAATAATGAACACAAGGTTTGCAACCTTCATGACACTACAAAATCATGACAATTTCAACGTTTTCAACCAATAAAATTTTTTAATTTTCATTTTTTTGGTGAGATTTTTTATTTCAATTTTGATGGATCCAACGGGATGAACCAGAGACGCCCAACGTTGAGCCCAACAATAAAACTAAACCAGACAAATACATCAAACACACGATTTTGATCAATCTTTCATATCTAGCCGTCGTACTTCATTAACTTGTTTATGTTACTTGTCGCAATGCACATTCCTCACAAGAATATCAAAGGCAATACAATTTTGAGGACATAATACAATATTATATATTATGAGTGTCACAGAAAGCCCTTCTCCTGAAAACTCTTGATGCAATCACCAAACATTTCTTCAAGGGTTTTAAAAGGAGGAAACCCCAACTCTGCAATTTTAGTGGTATCCATGCTGTGTGGGTTGTTATCTCCTTCCTGGCTGCCACACCTACAATTTCATCATTGAAATTTACTACATCAGACAAGCCAAGCATCAGCATAACTCCACATTACCAGACAAGTTCAGTTTTCTTCATTCAAATTATAATATGGTTGAGAAATAGCTAGGTTTAAGTTTAATTCACTTGTTTTCATATGGATAGGAAGGATATTGAGCCTGAAGCATTTTCATGACGTGTGACCAGTGAGCTACTGAGCTGGAACAAATGAGCCTGCAGCCAGAAGCTCTTGGTTCCTCCATAGCCAGCAAATGAGCTGCTATCACATCATCTATATGCACAAATCCCACTGTTGTGTTTGGATATTCTCCTTTTAATCCTGTTTAAATCAAGAACTTGGAAACTTAAGTATATGAAAAGTACTGCGAAGTGCAGAAAAGAAGAATATATCATCATAAGAATCTAACCCTTGACAATGCTTAGTATGGCCAGAAGTGTACTGGTTGGCTTTGGTGCAAGCAGAGGACCAACAACAAAAGATGGGTTAACCACTACCAGATCCAACCCACTTTCTTTTGCTATCCTCCATGCTTCTTTCTCTGCCATAGTCTTTGAATATGCATACCATAGCTGCATTTCAGTGACAGATTCATAAACTTGACAGGATTGTAACCAAACATTAGAATCTTTAATACTTACATTGTAGCGTTTGCAGTACTCTAGATCGCTCCAATGTGACTCGTTAAGAGAAGAGAGCGCCTGCTGTTGAACATCATCACGATATCTTATGGAAGAGCAAGAAGAGGTGAGGACCACCCTTTTCACTTGTCCTGTTATGCACGAGTTAAGCACATTCACAGTGCCCTTTATGGCTGGATCAATTAAAGTGGTCTGAAACATGTTTTTAAAACTATCAATGCTGGATTAGCTAAGGTAATTAGTGTTAATCACTTAGTTGGTCACCTTAAAAAGTATATAAATTGGTCTGAAACATGTTTTTAAAACTATCAACAGCGCGTATTGATGCTACAGGAATACAAAGGAACAAAAACAAAACGTATCAGCCAAAAAGGGGAAAAAAACTATGCATAAAAAGGGGAAAAAAACTAAACACGCTCTTTTATTGTGGTCCATTGAATCCCGGCTCCTTTTAGATTCCACTTACTGATATATGATAGAATAGAACCGTTGAAGCTAGTTTAACAGAGTAATAGCCAAATTTAGGTGAAATTGGAAGGACGGACCTGAATATTGTCATCGTCGGGCACAAATACGGGAGAAGCAGTATGGAAGACACCATCGACCCCTTTCACAGCTTCATGAAAGCTTCCTTCCTCTAACAGATTAGCTTTTAAGATGCCGAGTCTCTCTTTGGCGCCACTCAGATCCCACAGAAAACCATACTTCTCCACATCATCTGGTGGGATTAATACGAACGGCAGCAACAGGTGAGAGAAATAGACAATGAGAAAGGGAAGAGGACTGGTCCATACCAGGGTTTCGGACGGTGGTTCTGACAGAGTGACCGTGGCGGAGCAAGGCCTTAATCAGGTACGCGGCAATGAAGCCTGAACCGCCAGTGACGCAGTATTCCGGCATCTCTCTCGATCAACCTTCTCTTCTCTGCTAAAAGTCGAGTGTGGAATAAAAAAAAATGCCTGGGAAGCTTAGCAGCAAGCCCAAACAAGAAGACTAGTGCGTCAAGGGAAAAAAGAAAAAGCGGCCAGGATAAGTGGGCTGAAACGAAATCAGTCTCAAAGGTCCAAAATTCTCTCCCTTGTTATGAAAAGAAAAGGCCTTTCTAGGCTCCATAATGTTGTCCTGGGCTCAACAAGTTTGAATAGATCCCTTCACTTAGGCTAGATAGACCAAGCCCATGTTCAGCCACCGTCAACTCCCCTAACAGGAAACAAAATTACTCCTCGAAATCAGATTACCCCAAATTGAGGCTATGAGCCCAAACCATCAATTATGATTCCTAATCATCTCACTGATCCTCACCTACCATTGATGGTCCCTCCAAAACCATCAAAACCACTCGACGATGAGACTGTATGGATATGTAAGAGTTTGTGGCTAGTGAGACAAGCGATGTCCATGATTTATGGTTTGAAATGGACCCTGCAGATAAGGATGGAGGCTATAGTGCCGATAGTGATGGAGAGGACATGCGTAGTTAATGTGCAACTATGTGTTTTTTTCCTACTCCTTCTTATGTTTATTTTATGGATATTATCTCATGGAATTGTAGAGGCGTTGCTTCTAAAATTTTTTCTTTGAAGATGGTTGGTGTTTTGAAGAATAGAACCATTGATATTTTTGTTCTTCTAGAAATTAGAATAAGTGAGCAAAAAGCAAAAATGATTATCCGAAAACTAGGTTTTTTTTCATTGGATTAGGGTTGTAGCTATAGGTTATGACTTATGTGAGAGGAATCTAGCTCTTATGGAACTCTAGTAATGTCATTGTTGATTGTGCCTTCTCTACAACCCAACTGTTTCATTGTAAAGTCTCTAAACTTAGCATAAATGATAGTTTTTGGCTTACAAGTGTGTATGGTGAACCCAATTACTGTAATATAAAAAATTTATGGGAAGATCTGTCATCTATCAACAACCATACAATTGAACCTTGGTTGGTCATTGGGGATTTTAATGTTTATCTTACAAAATTTGATAAAGTGGGTGGGTTTTTGAATTTTACAATGATGAATCAACTCAACAATTGCCTTTCTTGCTCTAGGCTCATGGAATTAAAAGTCATCAAGGATAGATTTACTTGGGAGAAAAAAGGTGTCAAGGAGCAGATTGACTGGGCTTTAGGAAATATACACTGGCATACCAAATACCCTCTTCTAACCATCAAGTATATAAGTAAATTCAGTACTGCTCATTGCCTTGCGGTGATTAGGCCCTCTCATGTTATAAGAGCTCTAATTAGAGCGAAGCTTTTCAAGTGTAATGCTGCTTGTTGTGTGGAAGAAGATTTTGCTGATATTGTATTGAAGGCTTGGAAAAAGGAAAATTGATCTAATATTATCTTAGATTTCTAAGCATCTACCACTGAATGGAATGATCATAGAATTGGTAATATTCTAGAAAATAAAGAGAAAGTTGTTTAGAAGAATTGAGGGTGTAGAAAGGGTTCATTGTAGAAAAGACACTCAATACTTACAGTTGAGAGCTTTGGGACCAATAAAACGAAATGCTACATCAGGAAGAGCTAATCTGGTACCAAAAATATGGATGTAACTAGCTTAAATTGGGAGATTGTAATAGCAAATTTTTCTATGCAAGCACCCAAATCAGGAGGAAAAGAAATACTATCGTCAGTCTTAAGATAGATAATGGCAAGTGGATTTCCAACAAAGAGAAGTTGCAAAGTTTGGCAAATAGATATTTTTCCAACCTCTTTAACAGTACGGATAGTGACACCTTTATCACATTAACCATTTTTCCACCTCTTGACTACCTATTTGGATAAGTCAAAAAATTGATTTTTTAAGCCATAATCAATTTTTAAATAAAAATTATCGAAACACTACAAAATCTTATTAATCTATTAATAAACTTGAATCGCATTTTTCCATAATTTGGATTTTGCATCTTCTGAAATGAATTTTACCATTATGAATATTAATTATTTGTCAGTCACTCTCTCACCTACCCATATCACCTATTATTTCTCTCATTTTTATCCCTTATCTCGCGTCTCTCTCGTTATGTTTGATCTATGCCTCCTTCTCTCATCTTTTAGTTGAGGGCTTAGCCTTGGAGCAGGCTTGCTTAAGTACTATGTTGGGGGAGATTACTCAGGTATTTCACATCTCTTCTTTATAGATGACCTCATTTTGTTTTGTGAAGCCTTAGAGGAGCAAATGTGTAACATCTCGAAAATTATCCCCTTGATTAATTAAGCTCTTGAAGGGTAAATATATAAATTTAAGTATAAATAAGTTTGAGAATAGTTAGATATGGCTATTAGGTTTGGCTTTAGCCTTTAGATTGGGTTCGAAAATAAATTGGGTCACCTGGGCTCAAATTGTAGAGAAAAATTGGATTTTGACCTATTATGTATCATTGCTGTATAATTTCTAGAACTACCTTTTTTAAAAAAATGCAAAACTTTTAAAATAGGGAGAAATGATCCTAAAACAGAGGGAGGGTGATGAAGAGAGTAGTTGCTATTCTAGGGTATCAACTTTTGAGTATGTTGGAGGTGATTGGAGCTTAATTTCACCTAGGTATGCCTTTCTTATCTTTTCTTCTTCTCTCTACACATTTTTGAAGTGAAATTAGATGTTGGGAGATGATGATTTTCATACCTAGGGCTACGAGTCTAAACCTAATGGTCTAAATGGGACTAATAAGAGTTGTTTGAGTTGTTTATACTTAGCTTTGATGAGTTTGAGCATCTTTGAGCTTGGGCTCATTAGTATGGATGAAATTATGCCCTCAAGTGTCATAAATGATAGTGTTTCAAGTAGGTGGATGCCATTGATGTTGATTAAGGATTATGTTAGTGTTAGTTGGAGCTAATAAATCTAATATGGTAATTAAACTCAAAAGTTGAGAGTTTTTAAAGTTTTTAAATTTAAGAGTTTGAAGTGAGTAATTTGTGACATTGATGATGATTTTGAATTGTTAGATGATATATTAGTGATTATTTAAATTATTGAGAGCTAAATAAAGTTAATAGGAGTTAAAGAACTCATTGGATGTGAGGTTGATGATGTAATTGAGAAATTTGGTTATTAAAATATGGAATTAGATGTTGGAAATGATGATTTTGATAATTACTAATGATGGGTGTTAATGTTAATTGTAGACTAACCTCATAAAGCACCAGAGAGCTTGAATTTAGCTCAAAAGCAACTGGTAATGATGGGTAAATCTTTGACCTCTTAAAGGTTGGAGGTAACTGAAAAAATTTAGTTTATGCATTTGCTTGTTATTTGATTATGTGTTTAAATGAATTGTTTGAAAACCAAGTGATATTTGATGCAAGTTGTGGCAACATGAATAAGTTTATATGATGTGATAAAGTTAATATAAATGACATTTTTGAGAGATATATGTTATATATGATTGTTGTTGTGAGAAGATATTAAAGTGTATAAGGGTGCCTATGAAAAAGGAAACTTGTGAATTGAGACTTGTATTGAGCATAATTTTTTTTATGATATTGATAAGCATGATATGATGAGATGATGTCAATACAATTTCCATGCTATTAGTGAGTATGAATTTTCATGTTATATGTTGAATATTTATACATGGCGTGATCATATCAGGTGGGAATTCACCTATGGGGAGAGGAGTAGATGTTGTAAATTTATATGGTATTGGCAGCTTACCATTAAAATTGAAAGCTAGCTAGACTGTTAACCGTTAGAATTAAGAAGTAGTCATTGTCCCATTATTGTATAGGGATTGTCCCACTTATTCTTTGAGGGACTCGAAATTCATGAGGAGGCTAGATTAGAGGTATGATATCCTAGAGTTGTTAGTATTTGAGGAAACCATGTTGCATAAGTGAGGGTAGTAGCCTTGGCCAAGAAGCTCTCACGAGTAGAAGACTTAGAAAGTTTGATTTCATGGATATAGTCCACTAAATAGCCACTGGTTTTATGTTGGAGGTATTATGGGAGTTTAAAATTGGCATTGATCATGTATATCATATCCCAGCCATATTATTGTTTTTGTTGTTGTTGTTGTTGTTATTGTGATCTAGCATAATTTGATAGGGCATATGTTTGTTAGTATTATGACTCTATATTTCTTTGGATGCATATCATTATATGAACACATGGTTATTATTTTTGTGGTCTTTCATGTTTCATAAAGGGCATATGGTTATTAGTGTTGTGACCCTTATATGTTAAATAATCTAATGTCACATGATTACTAGTTTTGTAACTGAATGAATTATCTGGTTTAATGTGTGAACACACTTTATTTTGTTATGCCACTTGTGTTACTATGATTAATTAACATGCATTTGTATATGCTAGATTAACCTTAGTTATTGAGTAATTGTACTCATTCCTTATTTAAAATTTTATAGGCCCTAGTTTTAGTAGGGATAAGGGAAAGGCATATGAGGTTTATGAATCAAATTTCCTATTGTAATGCCTCAATTACTTTTAATTAATATGTAATTATCATGATATTGCAACTATGATGCTTATATTTTTGTTATACTTGCACAATTGAATATTCAGTATCGAATTATGTATTTTAGACCCTAGTACATGTGGTATCTTTTTAGTTGAGATATTTATGCAAGGTCAAAATACTTTGTGCAAGTACGGAGTGAGTATACTTGTGAATGATGATAATTTTGAAGTGAAATTACATGATTTAGCTCCCCCTTATGTTTTTATGATTAAGGGGTTGAGCAGTAAAAATGTGATCTATGTGTCGTTTGATTATTATAGTGTATTACATGAGTCTGTTATAGTCTATTAAGTGTGGTTTAACGATTAGTGTGGGGTTTAGGCACTTGGATTGAGTTTTGGATACCTTAATTATATTTTGAAAGCATATATAAGTGAGTTTGCTTTTTAGTATTCAACTTTTGATTAAGAAATGATTTGAATGTGAAACTAGTGCCATTAGTTAGAGTTTAGAGAAAGCTTTTTGTAAACACTTAGATCAACTCAATTGGACTTTGGAC